ATTGGGAAAATTGTTATTAGCAATGATTTAGTTTAAAGTAATTAGGATTGTAAGGTAATTTTTATTAATTTAATGTATGTGCTCATTTATATTTTAAGTAGTGTTTTTTAATTTAATTATATTTTAATTAAATGATAGTTATTTTGTGAATTTTATGTTTGTAGGAATTTGGTATACGTTTAGTTGAAGTAAACGTGCATGGAAATAATTTCAAATATCTGACACTAAGTATTTGTAATGGTTGCTGGTATGAATTCGTTGGTGACGTTTATAATATAATATAGATGATTTAGAGGTAAAAGTTTTTGGATATTTTATTTATTTTATATGTGGAAATGTTCATATTTGGAAAGGGTAAATACTTTTTCGCGATCAGGTAATTTCATATATGTTCTTTTTACCGGGTTTAAAGATTGAGAAAATTGTCATGTATTTTCGTGAAATTTTTCTAATTTATGAGAAAAAAGCAGTGTACATGGATATAGTGAAGAGTGTGCGCAATGCCATTTTTGTGCAATTCTGGGATGTTTTTTTAAGTAAAAATAAGTCGGCGTGTACATGGTTTATGTGTATGTGTTATTTTTGAAAAACGCGTAAGGAGTATGGTATTGTGCACTTTTTCCCAATTTTGCAGTGAATATTTGTCATGATTAAGCAGTTTTGTTAGATAAAATTTCTAGCATAAGTGTAATTCGGCTAGTAGATTGTTGGAAGAAGTGTTCAGTAGATAAAAAGAAAAGAAACATGTCTTTACTTCGTGAAGACAAAATGGCGGCGGGAAAAAAAATAGAGGGTTGCTGTAAGAGAGTTGGTCGCCAAATTTTCGCCAAAAAAACGCCAAGTTACCATAATGTAAGATCACCAAAGATTCAGTAAGAGTATACTCTCTTCTGAAACAATACATTTGGCTGTAGTTGTTCCATATGATATTCCTATACAACATCCCAAAATCTTGGTAAATAACTTTCTAAACCAAGATTACAGTGTAAAAAAGTAGTGGAAAAATGTTATAGTCATGTAACTGGGCTATACCATACATAAAAATTAAGCAGTGTTTACAAGTGTTTTTATCTTAACTGCCTGTTACAACAACACCAATTAACAAGCTATGAGAAAGAACATGTAGTGTCAGTACAGCTGGATGATCCCTTTTACAGAGTTGCTAATTTGAAAACAAGTTAACCTGTAAAACTACTACCCTTCATACTGGTTTGTTTTAGATTTCATTTGGTAACAAAATGCCATTAAAGTCTGTACCAATCAATCAATAAACCTTGTTACAAGCAAGTTTTTGTTTGCAGGACGCTGTTCATAATTGGCTTTCTTTTGGTGGTATAGCAACAGCGAAGGGAGAAAGATTCCGGGTAATTTAAATTCAACTAACATATCAAATTCCATTCTTCTTCTGTAACTTTATAATTTGATACAGCTTTATTTTTCAGAATTTTATTCACACCACTATTTCATCCATTGCAGACCAAATTCCACAAGTGCATATTTTAAAATTAATTTCACATTTAAAAAAGTATGATTAAAAAAGTTAAAATCACATTAATGATTTGTTATAAAAATAAAATGAGTTATAAAAATCATTGTAACTTGGATAAATACACATGCACACACACACAAAGAAAAAAAAAAAAAACATACAAAAATGGTGATGCCGCTTATTAAAAACTGAAAGAATTGTTATATGCACATACAACATGGTTGACACCAGTTTTGGTGCATCCTGTGAAAATTTGTTGTGGTAATATGGTAGCAAAAAAAATTTTTTTGTTATTTTGTATTAAAATTATTAAGGTTTCGACGGCTATGCTAAGTTACACAAAACAAGGTAACAGTAAGAGCTATGTACCTTAGGTAAAGGATGCCTTTGAGAAGGTATTTCTATGAGAAATTGACTTGTATTCACATAATACATAAGGAAAAACAGGAAAATCAGCTATCCCATTCACCAGTATTTGTACCTGGATCAAACATCCAATGTTCAGCTATCTTATCTGCTAGCCTACTGGTACCAGTCAAAATAGACAGTAATGTAATATTAAATATTATACAAGCTAAGTAGCATTGACTTATACATCACTAAAGAAATAAATACACTTCAGAAAACCCGTTTTAATTATAAGATTATTTTGAAAAAACGTTGCTCGTTATAAAACTAAAGAATGGATTTTCTTTACACACTGACTGTTAAATTATTATATTTCAAATCAACAGACTGCATTTAACAATAAGACAGGATGAAAAACAGTAGTCATTGAGGGCAATTGTTAGTTTCTGAAGAAACAATAAAAATTTTCAAATCTATCATAGTATACCCTGTTTAATGTTTAATATAGTATGGAAGGTTTTGTAAAGCATCAGCTATTAAAAAAAAAAAAAAAAGCATGCAATAGCTGTCAATGAAACCAAATAAAAATCAAACAGAGTTCTATTACACGTTATGCAACAAAATTAATGAATATGAACGTCTATAAACATTTCTTTCTTTTTTTAACTTGGACCAGATCTGGAAACACTTAGGCAATAAAATTAATAAAAATTTATGTTGATAAATACTTAAGAACAAAATGGCCAAACTTTCAACTAGATAACCAAATAAAGTGTTTGCGTTCTAGAGAATTTTATTTACTCTTCACATACATACATACATTATCTTTACATTTACTTTCATAACTCGTATGATATATAACATACTTCGTAACATACTCTTATCATCGAATGGTTATGATTTTCTATAATAATAAGCAAATTTTTTTAACAGTTTCTACTTCGTGTCTGCAAAGTATTCCTTTAAATTCCAAGGTTTCGCGATATTAATTTTCCTTCTGACAAAGTTTATACACGAATCCAAACATTAAAACCTTCGTAATCGATAAACAACGGCCATTTCATTATCGGTGGCAAAAAGCTGCCTATCGATAGTAAAAGGACAGTTTGGGCCATCCGAAAAAGCGGCGACCTAGCTATTCGCACCGTCGGTGCGATTAGCCACTGCGACTAAGTGCACTCTTGGTCACAATGATTTCGTAGATGTTTTTGATGTTGCTGTCAGAGGAGTCTGTAATTCTGTTTAGAATTTAACTAAATGAAGAGTTATTATGTGTTATTAATTGCCTTCAACATTCTAATTAAGCTTTATTATTAAATAATCAATTTTTTCCTTCTATCGTGTGTGAATAATTTTACATTCTGAAGCTGTCATTTCAATATACATATAGAAACACTAAATTTATTCATTATTTTAAAACGGATGCAGTGTCAGTAGAATTAATATGCTTAAAAATTGCAATCTAATGTGCTTTCAGCTGTTGCAAAAAATATGACTTCAAAGCTTCTTAACTAGGGCAATCAAAATAATGCTGATATCTTAAGTAAAATTCAGTGTAGGAATTATGGAGTGCTGAAAATCACAAAGCGTAATAAAACACATTACCCATTAGATAGAAGAATTCTCTTACGTTCAGGTACATGTTTGAGATTGGTTTTATCCTCACCATTTTGACGGTATTTACTAACAGTGAACTCTGCGGATGTACAGTAGAATCAAAATTTTATTTTATTATTAATCATTATTTTACCGGCACGAAAGTAGTTGATAAACATTTCTTTTACTGAATCAATTGGGCGTAAGCAATTCCACGCTTCAAAAGCATCACGTCGATGTGTATGTCGATATGAAACGTTAATCAAAGTGTACAGAATCCTTTTCACATACTCATTACGACATCTCGTATACTTATTATTTTTTTAAAAACTTCTGACATGCAAAGCAGCTAAACATTCTTTATTTCTAAAAATAGTCTCTTTCGTATTTAGTCTTGCATGTTTGCACACATAATCCTTCTTAAAAATAAACTTTGTGCTTTCGATTTGCATTGTTTTGTTTTGGAACATACAATCCAATGCACATGGGAAACAGCTTCAAAATGTATTTTCAATTTTCCCAACGATCTTCACGATTAAGATCACATCTAATCTCAAAGTCGAAATCCTCTTTTCTTCCGAATTTAAAATACACTACTTCGTACGAACATCCATCAAATAAAATTTTATAAAATTCATTTACCACTTCGTTTGACATAGTTGCTACCATCACGAATTTGCAACATAAACAATTTCCTTTTACGCAAGCGCAAGGTGCATAATTTCGCCAAAATCTGATAAATCGCCAAATTTAGTTGCGGCCTGCGTTTCCTAGGGAGGAATTAAAAATACGCGAGCGGGATATACTAAGTACAACTACTATAAAGTGTCTCTAATATATCTAGTAGTATATCTCTACTAACTCTAGGATATATGGAGAAGGCTTACTCCATCTATTCTAACTTCCATGGCTTTAACTGACAAAAACCAAAAGGAGAAAAGATGCACACAGAGCAGAACCTGATATACATGAATTACAACTTTTTCAAAATTGCGGCAAAAATGTGCGGAAGAAACATACAATTACATTACAATAAATAACTTAACCCCCTCATTCCCAGATATTACGACTGCATTAGTAAAGCTAGAGAATTTCTATAAGACATTTTCATTGTTTTCCATCATGTATATCAATTTCAAAACATAGGCAGTCTAAATGTATTTTATTTGACGTTTTGTTTTTTAATAATTTGGAATAATATTTTATAATTTTATATGAATGTTTAATTTATGAATGTTTTTTGGAATAATGACTTTTTGTTACTCTTTGAACAACTTCATCACTAAATGCAATCTGAAGCAACTTCAAAGGACTTAATTAAGGAAAAGGGGAGATTACGGACCGTTGTCTCCTCTAGAGTTGAGGGAGTACGTCTTAGTAATTCAAATAAACAAACAGGAATGCACTAACGTTGCAGTGGAAGGCACCAGAAGGAAGCCAAATTCACAAAGAAGTAAGTTGATTTTTTGCTCTGCGGGCAGGAAAACTGAGAAGCTGCACAGTGAACTTTTTTTTTTTTTTTTTTAACCTTTTTGTCTACTCTAGACTTGTCGAAGAACAGCTATTCTGAACTTTCAGCAGAAGTGAGTCGATGCGTAGTTTTGCCGCGCTTTACGAGTTAGGTAATCGAGAAGAAAGTAATAAAACTGCATAAAAAGGAGGTAAATATGTTTCTGTGGCTATTGAAATTAATTTGAATATGCGTAGTAAATAGATACTTATCCTGGGTATTAGTTTAGGTTGAGAAGTCGGCATAGCAGCGTGGTTAAGTTTCTGTTTCTGTATGATTGCGTTTCTTATATTTCGTGCAGAAATCGGCTTACCGATTCTTGTTTTTTTTTAATGGGCTGCAAATTTTTGTTTGTGTGTTTATTAAATATAATATTAAATCAAGTAAATTCTGAAATCGACATGTTATAAAAAATAAATTTAAGAACAAATTTTTGAAAATGATTATAAATGCATTTAAAAGGACAGATTTGATATTTTTTATGTAAATAAACGGATGAAAACATTGAATCTTTTTATTTTGTCTATGTATTTTTGTATAAAATATTTGAGTTATAATTCATGTTTTTTACACGTTCACAGAATCTTTTTAAATCGACGTAGATCTAGAGGGAATACAATTATTTTAAATGTTAAGATAAATAAAAATGAAATGCTAAATTCTGTCCAGAAATTGAGAAGAATCAAAAGCATATTTAGTTCGGCGCTCTTTATGAAGAGTTTTAAGGTATTTCTGGAAAAGGAGAAACTTCTGATGAAAATTTTTGAATTCTGGTAGACAGCAACTTAAAGTATAATTTTCAAAGCCTCCATGAGATTTTAGTGATCCAGGTGCCAGTAAAATTGCTGCAGTTGTGTTTCTTTTTTAATGAATACTTCTGTTGGGCATTGTTATACTTTTCAAAATTCCACATTGCACAATTAACTTTCTTTTTTTTTTTTCATGGGGGGGCAAAGAGGGGGAAACTTTGAAGGTTTTTGATTATAAAAAAAAGGAATGGAATATTTTTTTATATATGTGGAATTGGTGAATTTGGATGTTTTATTTTTATATATTTTTTGAGTAGGTAAGTTATATTATTTTTCTACTTGCATGTGTGCACATATTTACCAAAAATATTTCTAATTTTTCTGGTCTAGTTAATATCAGTCTGAAGCACTTCACGTGAAGTAAGTAAATCGAAAATATTTAGTGTGGAACTTCTGTAAGCATGGGGGCATCTTCTGTTTAAATATATAGTCATAAATTCCAAGTTTCTCATAATTATCAGGAATAAATGCCTTTATTCTTTATACAGCAGGTAGCAAATCTGTTATGTGACCCTTTAAAAAAGGTAATTGCAACTATTACTTCCTAAAATATTAAACATAAATATTATAAGCACCTTTTAAACAGGATGGATATTTTTATATAAACGGTTTCAGTAGTGAGTTGTAAAGTTCTGAAAATATAAAATCTGAATATTTTATAGTCTTGATATACTAGAAATTCCAATCAGAAAATATTTATATCTTGTTTTAATTAGTAAAAATTTTATATATAAGGTGGTTCATTATTGCTTTTGTGATTTTGAAAGTTGATAATATATTAACTGTAACAAATGCAGCAAAACATTACATATCAGTATATAAAGAATCTCTAAAAGTTTTGCTTGAACCTTACAGATGCTTGATATATATATGTATTCCTGATGGCATGACAGATGCAAGTCTTAAAATCAGCTTTTAAGTTCTTCCCACAATTTCCCAGTATTTTTTATTAATACCAGTGTTAGCATTCATTATTCCTTCTCATAATTTTACTAAATCATGTGACAGAAGAGGCATAAACTTATTATGTTTGATGTAACTCCATAACAAAGAAAAAAGACGAATTCGCTGTTATACAGGTTATCATGAAAATCTTGGAAGACGATAAAAGCTATTTAAAAAAATCATCCGTTATAACCATTAAGAAATTCAGTATTGAGTTGAACAAGGGCATTCTTATCAAAATTTGGAATGCCTTGTCTTGATGAATGAGGTTGGTAGTATTCTTGCAGTTGCAGCATTAGTCAATATTGTAGTATGGCTACATATAGTATACCATATCAGTTTACTCCTCAAAGAAAAATGCCCTATGCCAGCAAAATCCACAGTTATGTGATGGGCTTATTATGACATGATGATAGAAGAGGTTTTTTATGTATTTTTACAGCTATTTAATTTTTTTTTAATGTCAGAGGGAATTATAAGTAGTTCTGTAGTTATATACAGGGTTGCCACTTAAACAGGAGAATGAAATTCCCTGATTTTTTCAGGCTAGGTGAAGGAAATAGAAAATTCCAGTCTATTCACGGAGGGAAAAAAAATTAGAAAAGAAGAAAATTTCAGTCTATCCATGAAAGAAAATTCCAGTCTATCCGCGTAGTGGAGAAGACTTCCAGTCTATCAGTGTAATGCATGTTAGCTGTGCTGAGAGGTAAATTAATTATGGTACCACCTGAAAACACAAAAATTTGCCAATTACATATGACTTATCCCCAAAGCATTACTATTATAACTATAATAGGAGTTGTTTTCTCCACTGAAGATTGAGATTAGAATCTGCACAATCTGGATTAAACAATGTCTTTTTTTGCAGACATTTTGCAGCTAAACAAAAGAAAGAAATCTATTTAATGATATTTTAAAATAAAGTCAGGCATTTTACATTTATTTAGCAGCACACATAAGCATAAAATATGTGTATAAAATTTCGTGATAATATGTCATCATACTGTTAGAATTAAGTTTCAGGAGTATGCCAGAGAAAATTGCCTGGAATTTGAAATTATTATTAAATAATAATAAATAAATTTAGAAGGAAGAAGGCACACTAAATGACACGAATAGAATTAAAATAAATTTACTTAATTAGAGATTAAAAACTGAATTACAATAATCAACTGATATTTTGGTGAATATAATTATCTTAAATGGTTAACCTAGATGACTGATTACTGTTTTATTTTATTTCAAAATAACAAATATGGCATTTATTAAAAAGGAAAAAAAAATACTTAAAAAAGAGATTTTGTGGTAAAATCCTAGTATACGGTACAGCCTTGGCACGATTTTGAAAATTGTCGCCAACACCAAAATGACCCGTTTATTGCTGATCGTAATGTCGCCAAATCCTGTGTGTATGGTATACTAGGATTGAACCAATTTTATTTTATATGAGAATGGGAATGTATTTTCTTTTGTTCAACATGCACTGCACATGCGATTCTCTCAATTCTCAAGGTTACTGGAAGCCAAACTTGTTGGAAATTTACTTTGCCTTTCTAAAAGATAATCTGTTTGGAGCTGTGAAAACTGGCTATATGCAAACTGCCTGAATGACACTCATGCAATACATTATTCGTCAAGAAAAGTGATTGCTTCCAACGTTGGGGCAAAAATCGTATTTTGGCAGTATGTAACTGCAGGATAAAAATATATTTACAGGTGCCCCTTGGCAATAATTGGTGATTTTTGGCGGTTCATGGACACTGAGTTTCTGCAATTCTTTGACTTGTTATTTTGATTTTGTGTAGCACCAAAAATTGCCTCTACTCAAATCCAAAATAATAAGTCAGAGAATTGCACAAACTCGGTATGCACGTACATATCCACATATATTCACTTAAAAAAAAATAAGAGAATTGCACAAACTAGGCATTGCGCATTCCCTTGACTTTGTCCATGTACACGTCAATCTATATTCACTTAAAAATTCAAAGGAGCAGCCAACAAAAATATATAATCTCAAATAAACTACATTTTAAATCAAACAAAGAACTAACATAAAAATGGAAATTTATCTTAGCCTACACAAAGGAAATATCTAATTACCTTATTTAAAAATTTTCCGTGTCTTCAGTCAAACAAAATTCCTTAACAGCATCCAAAAACTTCCTAAAATTATCTGAGCTAGAATCTGTATACTGGCATCGCTACATGAATTCACAAAAAGTATCCTCCATAGTGCCGGTATCTTCCGATATTCGACCATATGGTATTTCCTTTCTACGAACAGGACACTTACAATGGCTACTAAGTAAACCTTCATTTACACACCAGTCAATTAATGCATTTTTCCCTTTCGTTCCAGATGGTATAGAAACTTCAAATTAATCTTACCACATTCAGCCATTTTACTGTGTAAATTACAAAATAACAACTTACTTCTTATCCAAAATCCAACACACAAACAAGCCTTTCCAAATCTTTTCCCATCATTCAAATTCACCGCAATCGTGCTACCAATTATGTCATAATAGGGTTTCCTTAGTGTTCGACTACTTAGGTTACCATAAATGAAACAACAACTTAGCAATAATCCAAGGGGCACCCTTAAATCTATGCTAACCAACTGTGGTTCGAGCACAGGGTTAGTCAATATTTTAGAGTGCCTCTTGGATTATCACAGAGTTGTTGTTTCATTTATCGCCCAATTGTTGTTTCATTTATGGTAACTGGAGTAGTTGAATGTTACGGAAACCCTGTTATGACGTGATTGATTGCGTGATTGCAGTGAATTTGACTGATGGGAAGATATTTGTAAGGGCTTATATCTGCATTGGATGTCAATTAGGAAGTACGTTGGGTATTCTGTGCTTTACATTGTAAAAAAAATGGCTGCCGATGTTAAACTGGGTGTTTGGTGGTATAGAATGAAGAAGTGGAAGTTTTTTTTTTTTTTTTTTTTTTTTTTTTTTAAGTGGTTGAGGACAGAAGAAAAGAAACTTTATTGGATGTGCTGTTGTTGCTTATCCTTGAAAGATCTGACACATGTCAGATGAGCTCCAGAATGTTATTGACTGCCAAAATTTCAATAACAGTGAAGGAATGGGTGTTAAGTCCTCCTTAAACAGTCCAATGCAACCCAGTATGTAATCCAGTGAAGCTGGATGTGTTTTTGATCTTTTTGATAATGGCTTTGTTCACTTCTTAGTAAATTATACAGTGACATTTAAGGATCCAGAAACCAGAGCTCATATTAACGCTATCGAAGGTATGTGGAGTGAAATAAAAGGGATTTTTGGAAGAAATGCCACTGACACTTCGGCACTATGGAGGATATTTTTTACTCTTATTTATGTGGCGACAGCAGCATGCATATTCTAGTTCAAATTTTAGAAAGTTTTTGGATGATGTTAAGGAATTTTTTGTGGGCCATAAACTGAAGACACAGAAATTTCTAAATAAGGTAAGTCGATATTTCCTTTTTGTAGCGTGTATATGAGATAAAATGTATTTCCTTTTTTGTTATTTCATCGTTTGATTTAAAATGCAGTTTATTGAGATTATATATTGTTTGTTTGGCTCTAGTGTAGAATTGGGTGCCTTTTCGATTTTTATGTAAAAATAGATCAATATGTATATGGACAAAGTTAACGCAGTGAGCAATGCCGAGTTTGTGCAATTCTCCGATTTTTTTTTTTTTTTTTTTAAGTGTAAATAGTTTGATGGGTACATGGACACCGAGTTTTCGCAATTCTTTGACTTGTTATTTTGCTTTTGTGTAGCGGCCATCTTGAAATTATGCCTTGCTGGCTCTGATCTTGGCATCAAAAAAGAATCTAAAAAAAACCAGGGGCACCCAACTGTAAACATTTACCTTTTGTTTTAATTTTTTTTTTTTTTTTTTTTTTTTTTTTTGCATTATGTTTTGGATGCCATTTTACTATGGAGGACGTTGGATGTAAACAGAAATGGCACCAAAAAATCGCTAATGTACCCCCTGAAATACACTGGTGTGCAAAAATTAAGGACGAGAGGGTTTTTTCAATATAACTTTGTACAAAAGCTTTCCAAATCAACACATTTAATACTGTAAGATCCCCAATACATAAGGACATGAGTAATGTAAGCAACACTTACTAAAAGAGAAATCAGAGGGATAAAAAGAAGCTTTATTGAAAAAGTAGCATGGAGCGCAATGCGACTGAAGGCCGAAACATCCCTGTGATGGGTGTCCAGCAAGAAACATCCGGTCTTTAATAGGGGATATGATCTCCCCTGACTGCTAGGCAGGTTTCACAGCGTCTGCCCATGCTGAGAATGAGGGTGTCAATGAGTTGTTGAGGCATTGCTGCCCATTCGTCTTGCAGCGCCAATCGAAGCTCCGGAATCGTTACTCGTGGTAAGGTACGAGCTGCCAAGCGTCTGCCTAGAAAATCCCATACGTGCTCGATGGGATTGAGATCCGGAGATAGTGCCGGCCAATTCATATGTTCAATATCCTCACTCTCTAAGAGCTGTTCGGCAGCTACTGTGCGATGACATGGTGCATTGTCGTCCATGAAAAGGAACTGCGGACCCATAGCGCCTCTAAAAAGACGCACGTACGGAAGAAGAATCTCGTTACAATAACGGGTCCCGTTGACTGAATCTGCATCGAAGGTGTGAAGGTCTGTATGACTACCGAGAATGATGCCTCCCCAAACGAGAACACTGCCACCTCCATACCTGTCCCTTTCAATGATGTTCGAGGGATGATTGCAGCTTCCCCGCTCTCTCCAGATGAGTATGCGATGAGAATCGCTACTCAGACTGAATCTGCTCTCATCTGTAAAGAGTACTCGTCCCCATTCATTGTCTCTCCAATTCCGGTGTTCCCGGCACCACAGAGAACGCCTTCTCCGATGGGCAGGCGGTAGAGGTACACACCGTACAGGGCGTCGTGCAAACAGACCACCACCGTGCAGTCTTCTGGCCACGGTAAAACGCGATATCGGTCGTCCAGTCACCTGTGTCGTGTGTCTAGCGATTTCTCCCGCTGTCTGCCGTCTGTTTCTTCTGGCCTGTAAGGCAATATACCGGTCATCTGCGGGTGTGGTTCCTTGTGGCGGATAGCTGTTCCTGTAGTTTGAAATTGTCTCCAAAGTCATGAAACGATGCTGTGAGCAATTCCGAACTCTGCAGCCACACTTGTCACACTGCGGCCTTCCTCCAACTTCCCAATGATTCGACCTTGGGTAAAAGCATCCAGATGTTGTCTAACAGATTGATTATTCGCCATTTCTCGCTGAGGCAGCAACTCGGTGGGATTTCAACTGCTATACGGCGTGCAATCTCTGCCAGAAATGCTGATCTTACACCAACAACATGCTTTATATTACTCAGACACTCCCCCATTACGTCTACCTGCATATCTGCGCATGTGTTACCGTACATCACCTTACTTAATCTCGTGATTCTCGTTAATCTCGTACCTGTCCCTTTCAATGCTGTTCCTCGTGGACGACCACTACTAAACCCCCGGATAGCTGTTCCTGTAGTTTGAAATCGTCTCCAAAGTCGTGAAACGATGCTGTGAGGAATTCTGAACTCTGCAGCCACACTTGTCACACTGCGGCCTTCCTCCAACTTCCCAATGATTCGACCTCGGGTAAAAGCATCCAGATGTCATCTAACAGATTGATTATTCGCCATTTGTTGCTGAGGCAGCAA